TCAGGTACCCCTCCCCCAACAAACATCCTAATCTGTCACTTGGAGTCCCCCCCCATCCCTTACATTTTCCCCAAGGGCTGTACATGTACATTTGTATGGGTCTGAACACATGTCTATACATACATGTACATGTATATTACAGGAGTGCTCAGTACATATGTGCTGTATGTACTACAGGGCAAGTACACAATACAACTCAAAACTTGCAAGGACCCATACGGAATAACTTTAACATTTGAGGGCAGACGGCCGGACGCCGTAGGGACAGAAGATAGAAATCAGTATTACATAGGCTCGCACTTGCTTTGCAGCTTGCACAAAAATCAGAAATGCTGTGATGGGAAGAATTAATCTATTTGACGGGATGGACATGCGGGATAAAAAACATCAGCAGTGGCCAGGAAAACATAAAAGCCACATGTGGTCCACTGTTTTGATGCAGAAATGTCAAGGCGGACAGTCACTTAGAAGATGCAACCACCAAAAGTCCATAGAAAAATTTACATTTTTAATACATGATGGCTGGCTGACTGTCAATCTTTGGTTGGATGAAAGCTCTTCAGAGAATTTATTTGGAACACACTCCTGATTTTATTCTCATGCTAAGTATATTTTTCTCTTGGTCTGAACTACAATTACTAGTGTTATGAATGGCCTGAGAATTATTCTCAGGAAAACAGGTCTTACACAAATATTTTTTGGAAATTAACTTTTTCTCTCGAAGTACTTGACCATCGTTTATTGTATATAAGTGCCATCCCGAACAATTAAATTCTGTGATTTCCCCATCGATGCCCACAAAAATTCTGAGGCATGGGAAAAAATGTGAAACTGCTGAAGTGAAGGCACAACAGATGTTTCTGCATAATAACAGATCCACTTCAAAACTTTACTACAATGTGCATGATTTGTTGGTAAGAGGCAAGGCATTGTGGAATGTAGAGCTGGTGGATTGTGTTCTACTACAAAGACTTAAGAAAAATGCATTAAATCAAGATCAAAATTAGGTCAGAAAAGGCAGCTTGGTGTATTTAGATTGTTAAGAAGAAAAGCGTGCCCGAGTTGAATTGCAAAGATTAACCTAAGATTTCAATTTTCGCACGTCGTTTGCCCCTTTAGCATCCGATTCGCTGCAAATTTGCAGCGGCGAAAAGTTGTGGTCAAAATGCGAAATCCTTTCGCTTTTTTACCCATTCCTTTTCGCAGCGTTAACTTTCAAATGCAACGTACTGTAGCTCGAACAAAAGACGGCGTTCCTAGCATTCGCATGCGTGCAAATGGTCAATGTATTTTTGATGTCCCTTATTCTTAAGCTGCATCAAACAATTGTTGATCGTCCCTACCCAACTCATCAAAATGTCCTGACCTGTCCTGACGTTTTTACTTTTCAATCATTGATTTTATATTTGCTTTACATAACTAATTAATTGCAAAACAAACTCAATTTTTTGATGTACAAAAAGAAAACTGAATAGCAAATTTGCTACACAATTTTGGAATGAAACTGCTCATTGTACAAACCTGCAAGACTGGCAGTACAGGGACACACGCCTGCAAGAACATACTCCAGGTGGTACATCCCATTAAGTGTTGACCTTGTAAAAGATGTAACATCATATCTTCACCTTGACGACAACACTTTGGAAGAGAAACAAAGCTTTATTTTATGAGTGGTAAAATAAAAGCCAAACAAGACAGATCGCTTTGCAAATGAGTTTTGTCTGTAAATACTTCAATCACATTTTGCCTATAAAAATGACAGATACATGTAGATGAGTCAAAAACAAAACCTTCCCACAACTACTTTCATATTACCTTGCATTCCACATTACAGGAAAATGAAAAAAAAAAAAAAAAAAAGTGAGTTAAAATTCAGTAGAGTTAATAGTCTACTAAAACGTACGCATTATTCCCCAGTACATTACTCTATTTGCCAAGTTCTTGATCACTCGGCAGTATGCCTCACTTGCTTGACTCCCACAGAAGCAGCCGCCATGATCTTCCTCTTTTTTGATGCGCGAAGTGCACCTAAGCCATGTGGGCAGGAGGGAGGGAGATTGGTAATCAGGTAGGTATGTAGTAATAGATTCAACCCGCATTAGGAGGGGGGAGAGTCTACTGCCTGCAACCTACGCAGATTACCAATATATAGCACTGCACCAAGGATGGTGGGGAGGTGAACATGCACTGCCAACACCTTAGCCCTAACCAGGAGCAAGATAAGGAAGGAAGGAATCAACGTGAGTGGAGCACCAATAAGGCACACTTGTAATAAATCAAAAATATAACAACACTAGATAACAGGATGACTGTAACAGGGACTCATTATGGCGTGCTTGAATGTATCTTCCAGCAGGGGTGAGGAGAGGTAGCAGTGAAGTTACTGTGATACCGACTCATCAGAGAATCCACGATGCTATGGCTGAACAACAGTTCCGAATTGTGGATACAAGGAGACCGGAGTTGAAGAGGTACATAAGTGTCCGTCACTAAGGTAATTTGGTCAGATCCGTAGAGCCCCCTTCACACCATGAATCAAAACACTGTCTTCAGCTGTCATAGATTGTCCTAGTGGATTGACGTTGGCCTGTGGCAGCTAGGGCGGCAGCGGCGTGAGAATGCCTGCCTGCTAAAAAAGATCATTGGACAACGTTTAGCACTTCAAGTGTGTCACACCAGGGGTCCGACTTTCCCCTCAGTGGACCAAAAAAATAACTAACCAGTATGGTAGTAGGTACACAAGTTTTTGGAGGTCAAACAATCATACTTCAAAATCAATCAACCGTTTGTTTTTTTTTTCCATAAGACAAGGAACATTTATTCTACCAACCCCCCTACCAAAAAAAAAAAAAAAACACTTGTACTCAAAACCAGTTTCTAATCGAATTAGTAAAATGTGTAAATACCTAATTANAATGCCCACGCCCCTGTACCATGCAGTTCTCTGCAATATGTCTGCCAGCTCCTTGGAGTAAAGCTGTCTCCAGGTGGGTGCACGGATGAACATCAGCGCCTCGGCTGATCTTCCAGGAAGGTCGAAGGATGGTTCTCCCTGCTGGCCTGATGGTCGGCCTCAAACCTCTCTGTACTGTTTCACCTCGAGCTGGGTGGGGTGGCTAGTTCACTAAGAACTGTGGAGCGATACTGGAGCTCGTTCATTCATAAAGATGTTTGTTCACTCAGAACAAATATAATGATCCCTTCGGAATGACGGTTGTTCACTCAAAACAAATGATTCCCTCAGAATGAAGGTGGTTCACTCCGAACAAATGGTTCACTCAGAACCAGCAAGGTTTTAAGTTCCCCTCAGGGAAAACCAGTTTGATTTCCAAACTGGCTTTTCTTCAGGGCCACGCCCTATGTACAGTACATGCAGGACATGTACCTCACCACACAGGTGGACTACCCTTCCATACACCACAAAGGCTGCATTGGTAGTGCCTAACAGCACACACACAGGGGAGTGCCTTGGACTAAAGTTACTCAAGCATGATTAATTTGCATAACATTCCTTGCCACTATGTATTCTCTGACAAATTTGGTTTTGAATAGCCATCTACACTCTGCAGTGGGTGTGTGGGGACAAACTCAAATCTGAAAGTAACTCTTAGCCCAAAGTTTTCTTTCTACCAATATTTATATAACCACGGATTTCACACATTTCCCAACTTGTGATGTTAATGTAATATAAACATGATTTATAAATTTCTCACATTGTGACAAGCAGTCTATTTCCGGCCCAACATGTCTGCATATATTGGATCATAAAAGACCTCAAAATTGTCCAAACCTGGCATTCTTGGTGCCATCTGAAAAGAGAAATGTAACCCTCTTTAATGATGTAATTTTCATATTCATATTTGCTTTCCTTAGGGATACAACCCTAAAAGGATTCGGGGGGTTTGTGCTGGACTGCTTACTATTTTTTCGCCTTTCTCCATTTGTCAACCTTTAAACCGTGTATTTCCCACCCGACATGTCTGCATATAATGGATCATAACGGACCTCAGCATTGTCGAAATCTGGCATCCGTGGTGCCATCTGAGACATGTAACCCTCTCTAATGATGTAAGTTTCATATTCACATTTGCTTTACTTAGGGAAAGAATCCGAAAAGGATGCTGGAGTTAATGTTGGACTGCTTGCTATTTTTTCACCTTTCTCCATTTGTCAACACTTCAGCCGTCTATTTCCCGCCCAACATGTCTGCATATATTGGATGATAAAAGACCTCAGAATTATCAAAATCTTGCAGTCTTGGTGCCATCTGAAAGAGGACCTGTAACTTTTCTCAATGATGTAAGATTCCTATTCATATTTGCTTTAATTAGGGAATGAAACCTAAAAAGAAGCGGCAGTTCATTTTGGACTGCTTGCTATTTGTTCGCCTTTCTCCCTTTTTCTACATTTCAGCAGTCTACTTCCCGCCCAACATGTCTGCATATATTGGATCACAAAAGACCTCAAAATTGTCCAAATCTGGCATTCGTGGTGCCGTCTGAAAGGAAACATATAACCCTCTTTAATGATGTAATTTTCAAATTCACATTTGCTTTACTTAGGGAAAGAAACCTAAAAGGAGGCTGGAGTTCATGTTAGACTGCTCACTATTTTTTCGCCTTTCTCCATTTGTCAACACTTCAGCCGTCTATTTCCCGCCCAACATGTGTTCATATATTGGATCATAAAGGGCCTCGGAATTGTCCAAATCTGGCATTCTTGGTGCCATCTGAAAGGAAACATGTAACCTTCTTTAATGATGTAAGTTTCAAATTCACATTTGCTTTACTTAGGGAAAGAAACCTAAAAGGAGGCTGGAGTTCATGTTAGACTGCTCACTATTTTTTCGCCTTTCTCCATTTGTCAACACTTCAGCCGTCTATTTCCCGTCCAAGCTGTCTGCATATATTGGATAATAAAGGACTTCAGAATTGTCCAAATCTGGCATTTTTGGTGCCATCTGAAAGGGGACATGTAACTCTCTTCAATGATGCGAGGTTCGTATTAATATTGGCTTAAAAGACCCGAAAATTGTCCAAATTTTAACATCTTGGTTGCATCTGAAAGGTCGAATTTTCTTCTTTCCATTGATGTAAGTTTCATATCCACATTCTTTTTATTTAGATAGATATCTTTGAGATATCTTTGAAAGAGGGTTCTGGTGCTTGCTAGTTTTCTAGAATTCCTGCTTCTACTACACATTGGTCTAGTTTCCACCAAAATTGGCTCCCTCTATCGGATCTTAAAAGACATGAAAATTGTCCAAATCTTGCCATCTTGGTTGTACCTGAAAGGTCTAAGGTTCTTTGTTCCATTTATGTAAGTTTCATATACACATTCGTTTTAGTTAGGGAGATATATGCGAAAGAAGGTTCTAGTGCTCGCTTTTTTTCTGGAGTTCCTGCTTCGACTACACATTATTGGTCTAGTTTCTGCCAAAGTACTATCCATATATGGGATCTTAAAAGACCTGACAATTGTCCAAATCTGGCCATCTTTGTGGCATCTTAAAGGGCAGATGTTCCTCTCCTAATTAATATATGTTCGATAACAATATTCGTTTCAGTTAGGAAAGTAACAGCGAAAGAAGACAGAAGTTCTGACCGTATTAATTGCTACTCTCCTTAATTTTCCATTCGTCTGCACTTTACAGGTCTTGTTCCTGCACAACGATGGCTCCATATAATGGAACATAAAAGACCTCAAAATTCTCTAAATCAGGTATTCTTGGATGCATCTTGAAGGTCGAATGATCCTCTTNAGGACTCGAACCCGGGCCTCATTGGTGCAAAGCGAGGAAAGAACCGCTGTGCTAACCCGCTTCCCCTCCCAATGTAATAGCACGCCCGAACTCAAGTCACATTTGTTTAACCTCATAACAGTCACAGTAAGCAGACATGAGCCACACCACCGTCGGCGAAATCTGTGCCCGTACAGTCAACTGGCAATGAAAAATGACAACGTAAATAAAGTTCCCTCAAATCATAGACTTGAAGCAGCAAAATGGGAACAATTCTTGAGGATATTAGAAAATACACGTGCAAGTACATACATGTACATTCTGCTCTGCCTTAATGTCTTACGAATGCGAACTACACTGTGATCTGTTGTGGAACGAGCAGTATGTGCAATGCACTTATGCAAGTCTTGAAAGACAACTTTGTGAACTATTGCTCCCGAGTGTGGTCTTGTCAAATCGGGAGAACAGCATGTTTGAAATACAGTAGAAATTTCCGACTCCAAGGTCTACCGTTGAAAAGGATCTTATGGGATTGGAGTCAGCTTGGGGAGGGGGCCTGAAACCTAGTCAGTAACCGCAGATGAGAGAGAGACGAGAACTCATCCACCCAGTGTGATTTTCCCCACAGAACTTGATCAAGGGGAGGCGAAAGACATGCCACGGATACCAATATGGGACTACACGGTCAAAATTTTTGTGTGTGGACTCAAAGCCGAAGAGTTTAATGGTATGATGGGACTAGTTCCTAGCTCGACGGGTTAATTTATCTTTGGCCATTGCCGGCACAATGGTACAGCAAGATGAGTATGATATATGTAATCACCCAAAGGGAAAGTGAAGAAAAAGACACAACCCTAGGAGTCGGCATTTGAACAATGGGCGAGTCTGGTCATCCCGCGGGGGATCTGGAGGAGGAAGTCCAAGAACCTAAAGCTGGAGCACGCGAAGGCAGGACTCAGAAAAAGTGAGATTGTCCAATTTCAGAGAGAGAGAATTCTATCATCATGGGGCTGACCCGAGTCAGAAAGAAGTGACCCTTGGCAGATGTCGGATGCGACGGCCAGGGAGACAATAAGTAATTCTGCTAACCGGTATAAGACCTGGAATGCGCTGGAGGCAGGAAATAAGGATCAGGATGAGAAGTGACCAGAGGATGAGCATGATGCTGAATAAGTGCTGAAATGAAATGAATAAATGACCAGGCCAGGTAGAAGCAGTAGCAAGAGAATCCCACCGAGCATTAGCCTCATGAGAAATAGAAGCAGGTAAGGTGTCTCCTTGAAGGGAATCATTGATAGGGGAGGCTGCAAACCCTATGTCAGAGCAGAAATGTGGGAAAAAAGCGAACCACTGAGACTGCCGGCACTGGCCCACAATCAGTCGCTTTAATGAATAGCCGTGCTGCCAGGCAGGCCGCATAGGGAAATGCCCTCAACCGCTGATCACCATGTGTCAATAGTTGTACCATCTGACATGGACAGTAAACTATGGGTGGAAAAACTTAAATTAACCGACTGAGCGTCCACGAGTGGGAGCACTGTAGTGGAATGGAGACGGGGCCATTGCAGGTTCGAGTTTCGCCCGAAGCTGCCCCACATAAGGGCAGACTCGTGCAGGCCCCCTGGTACCAGGCAGGTAAGATCTGGACAGTTCCTACAGAGACCTGCCTGTTATAAATGGTCACTGTAGCGGTGAAAGATTGGCAGCGACACAGGGCTTTGTGACACACTGTACGGGGGAAGGGGGGGTGGGCAGGTCTACAACAACAGCAGGTACTCAACAACAGCAGTAATATTCAAGCAGCAAGCTGTGTGAGGTGCATCAAAGCCTGCAGGCTAACCAGTGTGCAAGCAGTGGACCAGTACAGTATATTTTAAAACCCAATCAAACTGCATGAATATCCCTGCCAAGGTGGTGTTACAGGACCGAACGGTAAGCCGGCAGTGGAGCAAGCTAGATAGCACCTGGTCTTACAGCTCAGACTGCAATGAGTGGGAGACTCAGCTACACTCCAGAAGGCCAGTAGGGGAGTGTAGACGAGCCAATGGCTGTGCAGTGGAGTGGCACAGTATATTCCTGAGCCCCACTGGGGACTGGCACGCTCAAACTGCTGCAAGTCACAAAGAAACTTGTTGAGCAAACTTGTATGCTCGACAGGACAGTACTGGAGCAAATAAGGGTATTGCATGGTCGTACCCCAGAACGACCATAAGTTTGCATGGACTGAACGCACTGCACCACTGTCCCTACGAACACAAGCGATCCCTGGCTCACAATGCGAGCATAACAACTGGAAGCGGGTAAAGTACAAAATATCTCCCGATCTGAGACCTAATGCAAAGAAAAAGGAGAAACTATACAAGAAAAAACCGAATGCCAGAATAACCAATGGTAAAAAGAATAAAGGAATGATCAGGAAATGACACCAAAACGAAGCTTAGCAAAGGAAAACCTCTCGAAAATATCTGACCCGGACAATAACCTGTCTTTGAGTAATGGCGCTAAGAAAAAGAGGAAGATCATGGTGGCCACTTCTGCGGGAGTCGCGCGAGGGCACACTGCCGGGTGATCAAGAATTTAGCGAATGGAGTAATGGACTGGGAAATAATGCACATGTATTATTGGTATTGGTAATGTGATTAGGTTGTCGCCAGTAGACCTAGATTTTTCCCTAAGAAGAAATTACCATACTTTAGTTGTGAGGTACTTACTTTCTCTTGATCATCAGAAAGTCCAAAACAGCATATCTCATATAGAATGTTTGAATCAAGTAGAAAATGGATACATTCAGCAGCCCTCCTTCTGCCTCTGATGACTTCCTCCACATTGACAACATCCTAACAGATAAACAGTAAACATCACTCATTTATCTTAAGAATCTCAACTTTGCTGGGGTACTTTGTAAGTTTGTGTTCAAATTCATACCTGAATTACTGCATGCAAAACTGTTGAATAAAGTTGTTCAAAGCAGTTGACTAATCATACAAAGACAAAGAAACAATATTTCTGGAATATTGTATTACTGAACAAAAATGTTTACTGCGTAAAAATGTTGGGAATGTGAGTAATGAGCTTGCATCAGTTGCACTACTGTTGAAGATAAATATTTATGGACAGCTAAGAAAATGTGTTGAGTCCTTGGCAAAGACTTCCTTTACCACAGAAGTGGAAAACAGTTGCAATAACATTTAAACATAAGTGTTTCCTTCAGTGAAGAGATAAAGGCATCCCTTCATCATGTTCATAATGAAAGTCAGTCATGAACAATACTCATGTGTGAGGGACAGCCTTATCAGCATGTTCAAACTGGTGTCAAATCAGGTGCTTTGTTCTCATATAGCCTTGCCTTTTAGAAATACTGAACTTGCTCATTACTCCAGTTGTCAATGAACACACTTTGAGATAATTAATCTAAAATCCCGTCTTGAAGAACCACCTAATACTTCACTGTTCAAGAATATCCTGAGATGAAACCATGAATGCAAATACAAGAAAACAGGATCTGATAGACACACGTACCAGAGGTGATGTAATTCATGATGCTTATTCATGTAAAATATCATCATGAAAAACACAATCCAAAGCAACAATAAGCCTTTGTACAACTTATTATCCTTGGCATTACCTTAACAA